CTCAAAGTAGTCGGTGCTGGAGCCTGCGCCGACTTGGCAGCTAGTAGAGGACACTGGGCCTTCATATGGCCCACCTGCTCATAGTGATAGTAAAGCCTGACTCCAGAAGTCAGAGTCGGCTGCCTGCAATCCTTGGCCAGATGGACCTGCTTGCCACATTAGTGGCACCTACTCCCTGCTTGGTACGTCCCTGAATGAGCCTTCCCACACTTCCCACAAGTGCGGCCTGACTGTCCCCCAGTCCTGGTATCAGCGGTCTTGGACCGCTTCGGCACTGGCTGTGACTGTGCCGGGGCCTGCCGCTGCTCCCTCAACTGCAGCTCAAGCTCTAACTCACGCCGCCTGACGGCCTCCTGTAACTCCAGTAGAGTATCGCATCTCTGAGTGGCAACAAATTGACGAATGTCAGTCTTGAGCATGCTCAGAAAGCGTGTCATTTGAGCCTGATCCGAGGCAAACTCCGGGCAAAACATCGCCCTCTCAGTAAACATACGGGTGATTTCCGTCACTGTCTCAATACCCTGTCTCAGCTCCAAAAACTCCTGAGATAACCGCTCACGCTCGACCCTCGGAATGTAGCGAGCACGAAACATGTCCCTGAACTGCCCCCAAGTAACAGCAGCTCTCTGGTCATCCGTATAAGACCCCGTCATCAATCTCCACCAGTCCTTTGCCCCGGACCTCAGCAGGTTCAGGGCACATATAACCTTCTGGTCAGTAGGACATGAACATTTAAAGAAACACCCCTCCACATCCGACAGCCACCTCATGGCTACAATGGGATCCTGAGTACCATCAAAAGTCCGGGGCTTCGTGTTATCGAATTCCCGATACTGAAAACTCGCCCCGCTCCCCCTCCTGTTGCTGTTACAGCCGCTGTGGCTGCAGCGGCAGCTGTCTCAGTGAGGGCTGCATATATGTCATCAAAGTACTCCATCATAGTGGACTTGATAGTCCCGAACAACTCCGGAATCTGACCCTGGACAATCTCGACCACCTCCTCGCGGATGATCTCCCTGACCCGATCCTCTGTCAACACTGGCCCCTCCTGGTCGATAATCTCAGGTGCTGCTGGGGCCTCCTGATCACCCTGTCCTGATCCTGATCCGGATCCTGTCACGAAACGCCTCGTAACCACCATAATGAAAATATAACAGGAAGATATCAACAAATCCGCATAAATAACCGGGAACCAACTCCCGATTAAACCCTAGGGGTTGTGACTTCCTTGATACGTGTATGAGTCATGTGCTTTTAGTAGTATGGGCCCCTACTACCTTCCACACCTACCCATATTTGTCTCAAGTATCACCACAACATCCTAACACTATGCATACATCTGGTGGTCGCTCAACCTCACTCCTAGAGGAAGGCTAACTGTCTCATAACTGACCTACCGGTCTCGCACAACCCACCCATCCATGAAACTTCCACCAACCCTGCAGCACTAGTGTATGCTAGTCATACATAACGCTGGACCCTATAGACTTTCGAATATCCAATCCTGCCCTAAGCTCCCAATCAAACACGAACAGAACATAAGGCCAAATCAAACATTCTCAGGCTATAAGATCTTAATTATGTATAACCGTGATGCATACACTAAGCAACTACAGTAATGATGTCAATCTCATATAAAGGAAACCCTAGGCTAGCATGCATCATGTAATCAAGCAATTCTATCATGAAATTCCTGAAGATCCCTAGCCTAGCACTAACATGCTGTTCTAACGTATCACATAATAAAATAACTGTATGCTATTTTGGGGTCTACTTACTGGCTCCGACTGATCGTACACTCTGCATCCTCCTTTACTTATTTTGAAAACCATTTAAAAAATCATTTTAAAATCCTTTCCTTGATTTGAGACTGGATTCACACGTGTGTTCCTCCAATTCACTCAAACCAAGGCTCTGATACCAACTTGTAACACCCATAAAAATCATGCCCAATTTAAACTTTTAAAAAACATTTCTAACCATTAAAAATCATTACAAATTTGTTTTAAAAAATGTATAATGTCAGAGTATCCCAGAAACATAAACAAATCATGAGGAGCTGTACGATCATGCCTTCGCCTTGCCGCGATCCCCTGATATACCTGAAACAATAAACTGAAACCGTAAGCCCGAAAGCTTAGTGAGTTCCCCCAAAATACCCATACCCGCAACAATACACATATAATCATAAACAACATACTATGGGTCCAGTCAACCATCAGGTTGGAATACCCCAGGCCCTCAACCATCCGGTTGGAATGCCAACATACTATGGGTCCAATCATCCTCGGGATGGAATACCCCAGGCCCACAACCAACAAGTTGGAATGCCCACATACTATGAGTCCAGTCATCATCGGGATGGAATACTCACGACCCACAACCAACAGGTTGGAATGCCCAGGTCTATTTGGCTTTCGCACAAAGCAGATAAGCCTCAACCGCCAAACAAACATGTGAACATATAACATATAATCACATAATAGTCTATAGACAACAACTGATCTAACGGATCGTACCACATACCACATAATATTATCCTACCCTCTAGGATACTGAACTAACATGTCATACCACATGTCACATAATGTCATCCTACCCTCTAGGATACCGATTTAACAGATCATACCAGCATAACATAACCAATAACAATTCAAAGGGCCGACCTTGGTGCCTTAGACCCTTGAGTATAGTGAGGATAACTCACCTCACAATGTCGCACTGAAAATGATAGGCTCAACTCTCGAATCACCAACACGAACTCCACCACCTATAGTTACCATAAAACCCTTTTTCCATAAATTTCCAAATTACCAAAATGCCCCCAGAGGTCAACTGGTCAACTCTTGGTCAAAGTCAAAGTCAACAGTCCATGTTGACCCAACTCGTCGAGTGTAGTTCACCGACTCGTCGAGTCCTTCTTGAACTCGAGAAGTCGTGAAATCCTTGGTTGACTCGTCGAGATCCCCTATAACTCGCCGAGTTCATGTGTGTTCAAAGGTTGGGAAAAACCCTAGCCGACTCGCCGGGTCATTTGACTGACTCGCGGAGCCCAAGGCAAACTTCATCGGACTCGCCGAGTTGTTCATCAACTCGTCGAGTTCATGACCATCTTTATATGACTCGCCGAGTCCCTTCAATCCTTCATCCATACAGATGCTTTTTAAGCCATGCTAAGGCTCCATATTGTAGATCCAGCTTCCCAAGGCATGTTTATCGCGTAAAGTTGCAAACTTTACGTGCATGCAAGGTGATAATGACCTAAAACAAGATAAAGAAGGGGTTCTAGGCAAAAGAGCTTCACCAACATGCTAAAGATTGAGACTTTATGATGATAAGGGCCAAGATGAGCCTAGATCTGAAGTTGCAACTTCAGATCTTGGTTCATCACTCGAAACGCAACACCAAATGCCCAAAATGGTCCCAAAACTCAAAATAGAAAGGGGGTTTAACTAGAAGAAGCTCAAGGCGATGACTTGATACCTCCAAATGGTGATAAACTGAGGTAGACTTCAGATCCCCAGCTGTTCCTTGTTCAAAGCTTCTTGGTATTCAAACCTTTCCTCACCAAAATCCCTCTTCCAAGCTAAGAAGCACACCAATATAGAGAACAACACGAATTAGGGTTTCTGAATTCGAGGGGAGCAGTAAGAGAGGCTAAGGGGGATAAGTGATCCTTAAATAGGGTGCAAAACCCCGAAATTTAGGGTTTCATCTGCCATCTCCTACTCGTCGAGTCCCTTATTGGACTCGGCGAGTAGGTCACTAAAACACGCGGACCAACCCGCTGCTACTCGACGAGTAGGGCAACCAACTCGTCGAGTAGACCTTGAAAACAAGAAAATTCTTATATTAATTCAATACTTGAGAATCAGGGCGTTACAATTTGAGTGCACGTACTGTGCGATTTGTACAGATACACGAGAGGTTGTATCTATGGAGGGTAACGTTGGTGAGTTGTTTGGATAGCTCGCCAACAATTTACTAAGGGTTGACGGTGGTGGCTATGGCATCGAGTGCGATGATAGAGAATAGAGAGACGAAGTATTGGATTGAGTTGGGGGCGTAGAATCGAGGTTGTGGCAAATAGGGTTTTTGAGATTAGTGGTAAACACACACACATGATTTAAGGAAAGTAATCCAATATTTTTGGTAATTAAATATTTATTAACACACAATAATTAATTAATGGTTAAAATTACCATTTAATCCTTATTTAGGTTTTTGAATTGATTGACTCACAATCATTTCTACATCCAAACAATGATTAGTTAGAATACTTTAATATTATAATTTTCATTTCTAATTTTATTATATTTAAAAGATAAGCCAAAATATCAATATTGTTTAGCGGATTTTCGACGAAACTTACATCGAACAACATAATTCATTACAAAAACAATTGATAATTTTTTTAATGTAAATAAAGTTGCATTTTTTCATCACAATATAAAAACAAGTTTCACGTGGGTAGTACTTATTTTAGGAAATATAAAATAAATCATAAAATTAGTTAAAGAACGCTTTTATAATTTTTTTTTTGAAAAATTACAAATCGAGTTTACTTGTTGATTTAATTTGATAATTAAATTATATCTTTTCGAAAAACAGATAAACGTTAAATTTGTTCAACAATACCAAACGAAACCTAAATTACATCATGCAAGATGATCCTTTAAGAGTCGACCAAATATTTGGTTTCAAAAGTAAACCAATAATGTGACCAATCAAGCAAGCAAGCCATTAACGAGAGACAGCTCACATCTAATTATATGCGTTTCTTGTGGTGAACTACTCCACATGCATTAAGGAGTGCATTGCAAGTCATTAGACATTACCTTTGCAAGCCTCAACTATCTCATTGCTTTACACATTCCCATTTTTAAGTCCTTCCAACACAATAAGCAACTGATTATTCCATTACAAAGACATGATTTTCATAATTACCCTTCTTACTCTCTATCTCTTTCATCCTCCTCTTTATTCCTCCCTGCAGGCCCATGGAAGGACAAGATTGGCACATGATTGGTGCTGATTGTTTGGTGTTATCGTGTTGCTGCCAATTCTTGATCTTGCAGATGCTCATGTTTCTCTTGTTCAAACTCCCTAGCAAAGTCTTTAGAAAAGCAAAGGAGTACGTGAAGAGGAAGTTTGGAATACGAAGGAAGGTGGCTCGTTGTGTGGCTGCTTTTGTAGGGCGTCAGCAGCCATGGCCACCACATAGGGATGCAGCGGAGTGTTTCAGGTGGGAGGAGTTGAATGGTTGCATGGAGGAAGTTGAGGTGGCGTTGGAGGAGATGTGTAGAAAGGGTGAGTTTGGATTTGGAAGCTTTTGGAGAGGAGATGAAGAGCATGATTTGGAGGATAATTTTCGAATATGTTTTGTAAATCAACAACTGGGATATCATGATGATAGTGGAAAGTATCATTTTGTTGACGTATTTGGGCCTCTTACAATGCAATTAATTTAAACTTTTTTTTTAATCCAAGCAATGGATTTTGATATCTTCCCCATGAACATATGTATTTTAATACTATCTTGTTTTCAGGAAATAAGATGATATTTTACTGAATACTTTTAGAATTTGAACTTCGTTCCTTTTGAAATAGTCAAATTCAAGGAAAATTTCTTCACTACCCTGCTTTATATTTTACTTAGAATAACAATCGATTTATATTTTTTTACTGTTTTATTAAATTTTGTGACAAGAAACATCGTACTAAAATTTTCACGTTTAATGATTATGTTTTGTTTTTTTTAGATCAAAATAGGATGGTGCTGCACTGGTGATGTGTTGCTTTTGCTTATGAGTAAATGAAACCGAATTTTATGTGTTTAATTTGATACTTGGATATTTTTTTTTGAACTGCTATACGAAATTAAAGGCTAGTGAAACACTAGAAAACCAAAAACAATTAATCCATTAGATGATTTTTCATCCACTCATTTTAGTTCCATCTAGAATTATGATTTCTATTGCAAAACCAATTGAAAGAAAAAGAAACAATGGAATCAAACAAAAATTCTTTTTTCATCTTCTTGGTTCCAAAAAGAAACGCATTCCGAAACGTCCACAACACCCAAATCAAAATATAGCAAACCGACTCCATAATCACCCTTTGAAATCTCGCAGTCGCCAAGCCATCAATCCACTGCAAATGATCAATGAAATTCAAAAAAATGGGTATTGACTTATCAACCCAAGACGCCAGTTTAAACCATAACTGACGAGCTAGAATGCGATTAAAAAACAGATGATTTGGATCCTCTTGCTCTTGTTGACAAATTGGGCACAACAAAGAATCAATATCTAGACCTCTGCTTCCAGTAGTACGGGCCTATACTACCTTCCACATCTATCCGTACTTCAAAGATTGTCTTGAATCTGCAAAGTCACCCTATATCCATACAAATAACCCCCGACAAAATAAGGCTCCTAGCACTAGATCTCATCCTAGGTCTTCCTAGGGCAAACTCCACACCACTCTACGCTACCAGCTGCAGAAGGAACTCCTGCTAACTCTCTCTAACTAGCTCACAAATACAATTACATATCACTAAAACCAGATAATTCTTCGAATGAAAGGTCTCAAACTACAACGATTGGTCTTAAACAAGAGCTGTGCAATAGAGTTAAAACCTAACCTTCTAAAATTATTTAGTTCCCACAATATGTAACTTAGCATATTCGCTTACTAGTTACCTGAAGCTAGTAGGAACTCCTAAAAGCACAAAGCAAGCAACATTCGAGCATCAAGTAACCAAAATCAAGCATCACCTAATCAGACCATCCTGTCACCGACTGATCAATATAGCATGCAAGTCTACAAACTCATTTAATAGGCATACAAACCTCCTAGCATTCTATCATGCAAAAACTTAGCAGATCCTTAGCCCTAACTAGCATGCACTTCACAGATTCACAGATCAAATCATATTAGATAACATGTATGGGTAATTTAAGTAAATTTACTTGAGCTCGGTTGATTGCATGTACCACACCCTTTCTTGTCTTAGAAAAACTCTTTTCTTAAAAATATATTTGTGGTCTCCTGCCATTTTTCTAGCACAGTAGTTGCATAAGCAGTCATGTTCATGGATTCTTTTTTAAAAAGTTCACCAAATCTTTAGTTTGAGTTCAGACACACCCGAGAGTATGTCCGAATCTCTCAAACTAAGGCTCTGATACCAAGTTGAAACATCCTAAAACTAAGACCCAACAATTTCATTTTTAATTTAATAAAATCAGTATTCCAAAAACATCATCAATACAATCCAGATAAACCAAGTGTATCAATAATCATATCAAATCATAGTAAATCACAAAACGCATAACGAAATGGTGTGTGCTCTGCAATCATCCCGAGCCCTTCCCTTTGGAATTGGAAGTACCTGAAACATAAACTGAAAACCGTAAGCACAAGGCTTAGTGAGCTCCCTAAAATACCACATACCATACATAATAAACACATAATGGGACCCGCCCGACATCGAGCCCCGCTCGGTATACAGATCGGTCCCCGCCCAACATACACATAAACATATCTCATATAAACACATACATATGCAATAATCACAAAGATACATAACATACAAAATGGTCACCGGGCCCCGCCCGGTAAGCATATAAGTACATAACACATGCAAGAGTCACACAAACAACTAGCATAATAACATAGCATAATCATGGGTCGGCATTGGTGCCTTCGACCCGCTAAACACAGTGACGAAACTCACCTCGAACTGCTGAATCACATGAATAAATCTCTGGCTGCTGGTCTGACAAATCCTCGAGCTATCAATACCCAAATAGCATCCAATTAATAATTGGATTCCAATCCATAACTATCAGTCTATAATTAGGGTAAAAAGACCATTTTATCCCTTACCTAGTTTGGTCCAAGATTAAGGCCAAAACTCACAATCCAAAAGGCCCAAATCCTAATTAGCCACCCAAGGCCCAAATCCCTTCCATAGGCCTTAATCCAAGGTCCAACATATTCCTAGCCCAAAACACAAGAATTCAAATGGCCCAACAAGCCCTAAACATCTAAGCCCAAAAGAATGGCCCAAACTGAAGAGTACGCGGGGCGTACTCAGCTGTACACTAAGCGTAGACGCAACACGGCTTGTACGCGGTGCATACAGACTTGTATGCCCAGCGTACTACCCCATTTAGCCATCTTCCATTTATTTGCTCTTAATCTCTTAAGAACTTACTCCAAAACCTAGATCAGACTCCCTTGGGATGGCTTATCACGTAAAGTTGCTAACTTTACGTTCATGTATGGCTAAATGAAGCTCTTAAAGCTCAAAAAGACTTAATAGATGACTTATTGCATGCATGAGACCAAAAACTCCATAAAGTTTGCACCTTTATGCTTAAGAAACTCCTAATAAGCTCATATATAAAAGAATAAGCCCTTCAAACATCTTAACTCATCAACCAACCTAAAAAGGGACCAAAAGCACAAAAATCAAGACATAAAGAGATCTAAGCATACAAAAGTCAAGTTATGAACTTGATACCTCCTAAGGCTTGTAAGATGAATGGTGATTTTGGATCTATAAACTTCACACCAAGCAATGCAACTTCACTTCTCTTCAATCCCTTCAAAATGAGCAAAATAAGCACCAACTCCTTCTCAAGAGCTAAAAAACGCAACAATGGAGGCTAAGGTCAATTTTTAGGGTTTAGAAGATATTGGGGCTGGTAAAGAGGCCAACCCTAGGGACTTAAGGTCTATATATAAGGTACAACACCCTAACATTAGGGTTTTCAAGTTTGACCATTATGCTATGTGTAATCTTCATACGCCCTGCGTACGAGGCCTCACACCCCTGATCGGCTCCACCTTAGTACGCTAAGCGTACCATGTGGTACGCCCTGCGTACTACTCCAAGGACCAAAGATGCAACAATTAAATATAGAAGGGGCTAAAAGGAACATACCCACAAATCCAAGTGTTATAAGATAAATTCTGAGAAATCTCTAAGTTTGAGCAAACGTCTTCCACATAGGAATTTCTAAAGTCAGTCCCATGATCACTACGTAATTGCCTTATTTTGTAATCATAGAGAACTTCCCACTACTTGATGAGAACAATGATTTCATCAGCGACATTAGTCTTCTTTCTTAAAAAGACTACCCACGTAAACCTTGAAATTCATCCACAATGACAAGAGCGTATTTCTTTCCAACTCTTAACTTAACCGGAATTGGTCCAAAAACATCCATGTGAAGAAGATGAATAGGTTTGATAATGGTAAAGCAGGACTTTGGTTTGAAGGAAGACTTGGTTTTCTTTCCCTTTTCACACATTGAGCATAGCTTATCCTTGATAAAGTGCATCTTGGGAATTCCTCTTACAAGTTGATTCCCCAAGATCTTCGATATGTTCTTAAAATTCAAATGAGATAATCTCTTGTGCCACAACCAATTTAGAAGAGACTGGGCCCAAGAGAAGAAGCAGCGATGAAGAGAGTTGTCAGCAGAAAACATATCCAAAACATAGATGTCATTCTGTCGATCTGCTAAGAGAACAATTACACAACTTTATCAACAACCTTTCCTTCTCTCTTGTTAAATAGAATTTCATAGCCAACGTCTGTTGGCTAATTTAAATGAGATTATGCTGAAGACGTTTCGCATAAGAGACATTTTTGAAAACAACAGAATTGAACTTAATGGATCCATATCCCTTTGTAACTACCTTGCCATTATCTCCATACATAACAGTCGGACCATCCTTCTTTACGAAGTCTTCCAGAATTGACTTGAATCCAGTCATATGTCTTGAGCAGTCGCTGTCTAAATACCAAATATTCTCTTTACCTTGAAACTAAAATATACAATAAGATCTTACACAAAAGAAACAAAAATATACACACAATATACACTGACCCAATTGCAATGGGTCACACAAGAAGATATATTATAACAATCATCAGGGAGACAGTTCAACGAGTTTTCCTTTTTGATCCATTTATCATTATAAGTCATGATGCTGTCAGCACGAACGAAATTCTTTTCAAAGGTACACTCGTTGACTTTGTGAGAAGCATCACCACATCGATAACAAACTGTGATTCCTGGATTATTTCCTTTAGTATTAGATTTTGATTTATTTTCAACTGAAGAATTTGAAGAACTTTGATTATTTGATTTAAGATTTCATGTTTTAGTTTTGGAACAAGGAGTGTCATCGATAGTATGCTCATATACTACCTTGTCATGAGGCTCATGATACATTGAAGAGTCATCTGAGGTAGAAGACTTTGATTGATCTTCAGGTTTAGAATTGCTAACTAAGCCATGAGGAAACATGCTAAGGATTTCATTTACAAAATGAACTTCACCAATACATATATAAAACTTTAGCAAAATCTTAATGGAGGGAAGAACATACTCACGATGAAAAGGTTGGTGAGAAGGATCAACATCAGATAATTTAGAAACACATTTGGTAA